GCAACCTCAGTAACGTACTTTTAATAGAGGTTTGTAAATGTATGTGATATATAGGTTTATTTGTATGTTGTAAACTGTAGCAGTTTCAATGAAATAACAYTGTTGTCAGTCAGCACATTGGCCCAGGGAAGAAAATACTGTATTTCTTTTTCTTGAAGATTGAATTTACAAAAAAATTACCACTGTGGAAAATTATGCTTTATTTCTGTTTCTCTGTAATTTAAGAACTTACAAAAATATTCATATTTTAATATTGAACTTGATTGGCTATGCCAAGGATCRCAAAACAATTTTCAGTTTTCCATATGAAGGAGGATGAATGATAGTTTTCAGCAGCTTCAGTCCTTCTTCTGGCTCAAAAAATTCAAAGTGATCATGTTCACACTGAAATTCTTATAATTGATTGACATCTAAACAGGAATTGCCTTGGAGAAAAAAAAAAAAAAAATCCCCTGACTGATTCCTCATATCAAAGTTGGGCATTTGATTCAGTGATAGGGAATTTTTTTGTTGCCCTGTGAATTCAGGCTAAGTTGAAACAGGGCAGTCATTACTGAGAAGCAGTGGGCTGCTGAGTTTAAGAATGACTAAAGAAATTTAAGTTCCTTCACGTATATTTCTAGTGAAAGTTTRAAGGAATCTCCAGAACCATCTGTCTGGATTTTTCCTAGTGTCCTTACTCCTTGTTGTATCTTCTCCACTCCCCTGCCTCCCTCAGTTATTCTCTTGAGATCAATGTGACAGATCAAAGTCTAAGAAGGGGCCAGGGCCTGTGCCTGAATGATGATTTTCCTTCCCCTGCTCAAGCTCTCTGAAAGCTCTCTCCATGGATATTTCCTAGAGCAGTTAGCATCAAAACTAGAYCTTCAAATCAATGGAAGGACATACTGTGGCATATCAGGATTAATTATCTGAATTAATCCTGAACTAAGATGTTTCGCAATAACACTAATCTGACAGGATGGTCCGTAGGTAAAAATACCCATTCATGGCATTTACTTTTCTTTTTTGTGTTCTTATTGTGACATATCTGTAATCAGAATGGGAAAGAACAGGCCYACATTTTGCATTCCTTCTCCATATCTTTCCAGCCCTGGTTCAGCAGAGTGCTTACATGTATGTGTATCTCAATCCATGTGCCTGTTCTATTAYAATACCTGCTTAACTGGGGCTTTCAGTGTTGATCACAACTGAAGGATTTTGTAACAATTCTGATTTGGATTCCCTATGTTCTACARCTTGACATGTACCAGCTGGAAAATGTGTTTTGAGGGTGTTTTGGTTTTGGTTTTGTTTGTATTTACACATCGTGATCACTCCACTTCCTGCAATGCCTTAAATCTCTGCCATTTGAAATTTGAAATTGCTTCTTGCTTTCTTAATTGCTTCCCCTTCCTTTCTTTATTGTTTTGTTTTTATGTTCCTCTGCAGCTTTGATGACTTTTTCCTTGACTATTAAGAGCAACTTTTTTTGCTTCCGACCCAGTTGGTCCCTTGAAGAAATCCTACAGCTCTGGATGCTCTGATGGTCATAGCTTGTGGCCACTGCCATTATAATTATTCTTTTTTTGACTGTGGATGTATTAGGCAACATGCACTTCAGTAGTTTGTGGTAGTAACAGAAGARYATCTGATTTGTTCTRTTAGGTAGTGCTGTGTCCAAGGGAKCCTTCAGCAGAAATCCTCTGAAATATTCTTCAATATGTAAGAAAGCTGCTCCTTGCAGGCTGAAGAAGTTCAAAGTTACTCAGTAAATACATTGTTTAATTGCCTCTAGGCAATGACTAGGACCTTTCAGAAAGGTTTCTGCCCACTCAGAAAGTTAATCTCTTGCTCAGGATGATTTGAAATTTGCTGTCACAATGATTGGAGTTTCCAACCTGATGGGCAGTGCCAGGAACTGAAGTGTGATTTCTAATAGAATGGGATTCTCATTTGTCCTCACAGTGGTATTTTTCATGTTGCCCATCTACTGGATAACTCTATAGCTCAGCTGACCAAAGGAGAGTGGCATGTTGCTCTGCAAAGGCATATTTTCWGTATTATTTATGGAGTCCCTCCCACTAATATGACTAGCTAGATTATCTGTAAGGCTGTGCTTGTTCTGAAACCATTATTGATTAAATGCTGAAATGAAGTTTTTTTTAGAAGCTGTCATTGGAACATGCTTAGACTGCACTTGCTGTCAGCTTAACAGTCATGTTTCTGTGTCTTCCTCTAAATTCCTCTCCCAGCTGGGCTCTCTCATATCTTAGCATTAAAATAGTTCCTTCCTAATTAGACAGATCTCTGTCATGATAATCATCTTGAGAACGTATGCTGTATTTTCATACCGCGTAACTTTTCACAGATCAGGCCTCTGCTTTATAATTTTTCAAAATTGTAACTCATTGAATAGATCCCTCAGCAAGCAATCATCTCCTGGAACTGCTAATTAGTGTCCTGTCAGCTGATATCAGTAGGCATTAGTGTTCATCTGCTGCCACCAGCAAGTTCATCTTACATCATTTAGAATTCTGATAAATTTGATTCTTTTCAAATTTCAGTTGTGAAGATAGTGTTTCAAAGCTGATGTGCAGACAGGAAAAAAAAAGGTTGTAGACCAAATATACACAAAGTGAATTCCTACAGAAGAGGTGTTTGTAAGTCCATGGTCATAAATACAAGTGCATGCACATCATGAATGAGTCTATGCTTGTGTCTGACTACAGAACAGAGTTGTTTGGTCAAGGTTGTGAAGAACATCTGCATTAATGATACTAATCAGTAGTTAGAATGAAATTGAGATCTATTTCTTGCATTGCCCAGGCTATAATATGAGGGATTTGTTTCCTGTTTTTATTTATTCGGACACAGAGGCTTAACAGAACTCCTTCACAAAAATTGAATTTAAATAGTTCACTAAATAGCTCATTTTACTTTAGTTTTTCAGGAGCTGGTAATTTTTTATGTAAGTGTCCTTAAAAYCAATGATGCAAAAACGAACTGTGAAATCTTATCTCTATTATGCTGTTTTACAATTGCCACTCAATACYTGGCTTTAAAAGAAAAACCTCCTGTCAGAAGAAAATTTTTAGTTAGCTCTTAGGTGCTGGATGACAGCTGTAAAATAACAGAGCACAAGTGCCATTTTTTTATGAAATGCTGATTCTGTTGACTGTTTTTAGATATAGGAGGGAGTGCTTATCTTATAAAAGGTTAYATGGCAGAATAATGCAAGAATCACCACTCTGCTGTTAAAATGAGTGGGAAATAGATATCCATTTGCTCAGCTTCCTTTTAACTTCAGCTAATGAAAAAATATATTTTATTCAGAATCAAATTGGTTTTGAATGTATTAAGATGGAGGGGATTTTTTTTGGTGTGTTTTGTTTCTTTCTTCCTTTCTTTGGTTGGCTGGGATTTTATTTCCACAAAACTGGTGACTGATTGATTTGCAAAACTTCTAACTAAGCATTGGTAACTCCAAAGTTTTTTTACCCAAATCATCACCCCTGGGCTGTGCAGCCTGACAGAATGAAGGTACATAGCTGAGAGATGAAAAATTCCTACATTTTGAATAGGCTGAAATTTAATTCTATAACAGTACAGCATACACTTAAAAATTACCACATTGACAGCTGCCAAAGTGATAYACTGGAAGTTAAGGTGTGTTTCCATGATCTCATAAGACTGAAAAATGTAGTAGTAGAAAAAGAAGAAAATGTCTGTAAAAATCACCGAAAAGCAGTCTGTAAGAAAACCACAGCTTTTACATGTATTTGTGACCCTGTGGGTATAAGAAACGCTTCTTTTTTTTTGGACTCAAGTGCTGTTCCGCCYGTGGAGCCAGGCTGCAGCACACGAGCTGCGGGCTGCAGGGGGCACTGCGGAGGAATCCAAAAACTTAAACCKACTTCACAGCCCTCTCCCTCCCTGGACATTTTCCATTTCAATTAAAAATCACTCACTCCATCAATCAATCAATCAATAGACCGATCATAATAATAACAATAACAATAATAATAGTAACAATAATGATAATAATTTAGAAAAGAACAAACCCTTAAGTCGCCCCCCCCCCTTTTTTTTTTTCCTGCTCTCTCCGCTCTTGCATTGAATCTTAACTTTTCAATTCAATAGTTACGGAAGAGATTGCAACACATCTCCCGGCTCCAAATTAAGAGAGGCACGAATCTGTATAATTGATGCAGGATTTGCAGTTTGTCTGCGTTCATACGCTGCTTCTAAGCAGATCTGAAATTTCCCCCTGCTTGTTCTATTATAAATTAGTAATTGGTGATCRTGAGGCACTTTAAGTAGCTTCACTGCGGTTCTCTAACTGATACTACAGAAAACTTTTTTCTGTGTGGAAGACGTGTTTGTTAATCCCAACGTAGAGAAGGTACTAATTGCTATTTTTATTTGCCCACTATTATGTTCCATCTCAACATAGTCAGGAATTGTGGCAATAGGCATGAAATCAACCCCAAATTTCATACTGCTGAGCTCTTAAAGAAGACAAAGACAGCTCTTTACCACTGTGTATCTTAGAAATAGTATCCTATGCTGATCTGCAGTGGCAAAAATGAAGATGGTTTAAATCAGATCTCATGACTAATGCATGCGTTCCCAATTTTCTTTATATCCAGCTGCATGTTAGAACAAGGGTGTCTCTCTGAGATAATTCTGTTCTATATAGGTGAATTTTAAAAATTCAAAGTGCATTTCTCATACTTCTAGTTAGAAAATAACAATCAATGTGAGATGTGGGTGCAATAGCTTTGTCTGCAAAACGGTCTAAAACTAGATTCCCGGGATGTTATTCTTGATCCATTAATCACCCGCTCTCTATATGGAGGCAGCCACAGTTCGCTTGGAAAAATGTTCCTGCCCAACGTGTCATGTTTCTTGTGTTGTTTAAAATAGAAAGTTCAGCCCCGTGCCGGGGAGGCGCAGGGCTCCGCGCTCCGCTCCCATTCATTATGCAACAGTTGACACAGAAGGGAAAGGCGGCACACGCCGCTCGGGCGCGGGGTACGGCCGGGCCTCCGCCTGCGCCCGCCGCCGCTGCCCTCGCCGCGGAGCCGAGCCGGGCTCCGTGTGCCTGCCGGGAGGCTCGGTCCCGGTCCGCCCCCCTCCCATCGCTGCGGGGAGGCCGCGGGGCCGGCAGGTGTCGGGCCCCGCTCGCTGCCGCCCACCCCGCTCTGCCGCCGCCGCCGCCGCCGGGCGTGAGCGCTGCGAGGGAAGCGCCATGTCCGCTCCTGCTGGGCCACGTCCGTGCCGGGTTTTGCACCTTGTCCCCGGGTCTGCCTCACGGCCCCGAGGAGCCGCCGCCGCCGCCGCCGCCGCTGCGGTGTTTACTGAGCGCTCCTGTCCTGATATCACTCCGCTGGCATGGAGGAGGAGGAGGTGGAGGAGGAGAGCATTTGATCATTGTGATGGTGGCAGGAGGAGCAGCAGCCAGCACGGCAGAGCAAAGCGCTAGGCTGTATCAGCTCGGCGTTTGGCACAGACTTCAGAGCGCTACTTTTTTTCCTTTTTTTTTTTTTTTTTTTTTCCTCTCCAGCTCGGCCCGGATTGTTCATGTGTTTACTTCCCCCAGCCCGAGGATTTGCTATTTAGGTTCCTGTTGAAATGCAACTGAGCAGCCAAAGTACTTTGCGAACACGGTGCGGCATAAACACCAAAACTTTTTTCTAGAAGAAAAATACAATAAGCAAGCGGCTGTGCCTGTCTTTTGATGCCGGGGAGTGCGAGTGAGTGTGCCGTGTGTGCCCAGCGTGTGCCTGTGCTTGGATGTGTGTGTGCGAACGTGCGTGTGAACGGGTGTGTATGTGTGTGCATGTGGAGGGGCGCGTGTTTCTCCTTATCCATGGGGAGAGAAGGCTTTTGGCAAAATCTCCGGAAATCTCATGGAATCTGTTTTGAAATAATGGATTATAAAAAAGAAAGAGGAGGAAAGGAACTGATCTGATGTCTCCTGGAGTTTGCTAACCCGAATTGCTGCTGCTTAGTTTGTTGTGCTTTGTGTRTGTGTGTGTTATGTGTGTGTGTATGTGTGCGTTTGTTGGTTGTGTTGCTGGTGATAACCTTTTAGCACCTTCTCTCCTCATTTCCCTCCCCCCTTCCCTCTCTCTTTTTAATGTTTTGGAGCTTCTCGAGAGGGATTGGCTGGGGGGAAAGAGAAACATTTGCTTGGGATCGCGGTTTCCCTGATACATGATGGTGCCCCCTTCCCCCCCCTCCCCGGTTCTCTAAAAAGTATCCCATCTGGACCCCAGAGGAGACTGTGTGTGTGTGAAGTGTAGGCTAAAAAGTTCCTCCAAAATAGTGTGCACGGGGACGAGGATGGGGGATTTTGCAGCCCCCGCTGCTGCCGCGAATGGCAGCAGTATCTGCATCAACAATAACCTGAACAGCAGCCTCAGCGGGGCCGGCGGGGCCGGTATCGGGGTTAACAGCACTCCCCACGGCCCTCCTGCCGCCGCTCCCGGTAACAATAACGCTAATAGCGGCGGCATTCCCAAGCACAGCACGGTGGTGGAGCGGCTGAGGCAGCGCATCGAGGGCTGCCGGCGGCATCATGTCAACTGCGAGAGCAGGTACCAGCAAGCCCAGGCGGAGCAGCTGGAGCTGGAGCGCAGGGACACGGTGAGCCTCTACCAGCGGACCCTGGAGCAGAGGGCCAAGAAAACGGGCACCGGTGGCGGCGGCAGCAAGCAGCAGCACCAGAGCAAACAGCAGCAAGATGCTGAGCCCGCCACGGCGGAGCAGAGGAACCACACGCTGATCATGGTAAGGGGATGCGGGCCGGGGGGCGGAGGGGTGGCTGTCCGCTCTGCGTCGCTCGCCGGGATTGCTGGAGGTCGCCCCCGTGTCTTTTCCAGGGCGAAGGGGCTCGACTCAACTTTTGCGGTGGCAGGGTCTCTGGCGGGACAGGCAGGCGGGGGCTGCTGGGATGCTTCGCAACTTCTCACGGGCTGGGGTGGGGGGGGAGCGAAAACAAACTTTTTTCCCCCGTCGCTTTCGGAAGGGTAGAACTGCTCTGGGTAAGGGGGAAGGAGCAGTACCGGGCGTGCGCCGCGGGCTGTCGACAGCCGGGGGAGGGGTTTTTTTTGTATATGTGTGTGCGTGCGTGTTTCCCTACGGCTTCTCCGCGCGGGGGGCTTGCCGCCTTTAAATCCCGCCGCGGAGGAAGGTAGAAGGTGACTCCGCAGGCTGGGCTGGCGGAAAAGTTGGGCAGATTCTCGGCTGAGCTGCCCCGGCGCGCAGCAGCCTGGCTATCCACGAGCTGAATCGCTTCCCAAAGTTTCCTTGGGTTTTAAGGAGCTTAGCGAGGAGCGGAGGGGGGAAAGGGGGCGGGGGCTGAGCCGGTAGGAGCGTAGCGGCAAGTAGGAAGCGGAGTTTCCCACTCCCGGGTTGTACCGCTGATGAATAATAAGAGGAGGCGCGGGGGGAGCCGGGCCCCGCGTTCCGGCAGAGCCTTATTTATAGAAGGTCGCGGCCGCCAGTTTTTCTGCTGGGGGGGCTGCTGGTGTTGGTCCCGGCCGGCGAGGGCAGGCGGGCGGCTGTGCCGCGGGGGACACGCGTGTGTGTCCTGACGTGTCCCCGCGCCGGGGCGGGGGTGCCCTGCGCTCGGGGGCGGGCACGGGGCAGCTGGGTCCTCGCCGTCTGCCGGGCGCACAATGGGCGGCGGAGAGCGGCGGGGAGGAGGGAGGGAAGGAGGAGGGGAGGTGCGATGGCTGCGTGTGGTTTACAAGCCTCGCACGTCCCTCCCTCTCGCCTTCCCCCGCTGCGCGGGGAGGTGCGGCCGTGCGGGAGGGTCCGGCGGGGCGGCAGCTGCTGCGGGCGGGGGGGGTGTCTGTGACAAAGCGGCGGSGAGGCGTTCGTCCCGGCGGCGCTCCTTGTTCTCGCCCCACGTACGTGAGAGGAGGGAGCCGTGTGTGCTTTTCCCGGGGCCTCGGCGATCCCGCCCAGCCCCGGCCGCAGTGCCGGCTCGCTGCCGGGCAGCTCCTCCCCTGCGGGCAGCACTCTTCCCGCTGTCCTGCTGGCCTCTGTGCCTGCCCTCAGCGCTGCTTCCTCCCTGTGGGGGGGTGTGGCTGGAGGTGGGGAGCGCTTCGCCGGCGGCAAACAAAAGCTCAGCGCGGTGTGTTTCCCCCGCCTCCTCGGGAGCGGAGCCCCCGGCAGCCCGGCGCATCTCCGGGGGAGGCGGGAGAGATGCGGAGGGAATGGGGCCGGGGCAGCGCGGGCAGGAGCCGCACAAAGCGGCCGGGGGTGGAGGAATGCGTGCGTGTGCGCTTGGCAAACAGGAAGCAGTACGACCTCACTGACATCTTGTTGCTTCCCTGATGTTGCCAGCGAGGCATAACCATGTTTCTGTTCCCTCTGGCGCTTTTCCGCAGAACCGAGGCTTTTAAACACGCACCCCATCAAACTACTTTGCCTCGGCCTACACCTATTCCCGGGGCAGCAACTCAGTCACTCCCTAAGCCCCACACACAGGGACTGTCTTTTCGTCACCCCAACTGTCCTCAGATCCCTTTTCACATCGTTCCCACAAGATRCACGAAAGGGGCTGGAGGCTCAGGAGATATTCTCAATGATCTCTGTCCAGGCCAGCCTTGTGGTGTACTGTGTCCCCATCCAGCTCCAGAGCAGTTCCGATACTTTTGGACCCTGGCTAGTGGTGGGTTGSCCTTTCCCCTTATTCCTAAATCCCGGTGCTGGAGCATTAAAGCCAGGACTTTTAGATAAGYAGGTCATTTTTGGCCTTTCCTTGAAGATATGGGACCGACACACAAAGCCAAGCTGTAATGTGAAAGTTGTAGGAACAAAGTAACAAAAGGAGGAAATGCAATTGCTGCTCTCACTAGTTTCTTTCAGCTCGGGACTCGGGGTAGCCTACTTAAGGGGTGGTTTGGGATGAAATTCATTGTAACTCAATTCCTGTGCTATGATCATCATATTAGTTAAATATGCTCATTTGATCTTAAAAAGAGAAATTCTACTGCCTTAATACAAAAAAAGGACCCATTTCCATATTTTTTTAAAAGAAAATACACAAGTGTTGCAAAAAATTTAAAAACATTGTCTGCTTTGTTTCGCTTGTAAAGTGTTAATTATGATTTTTGACTMATGTCTAAGAACATCTGGGAACATCCATGGGAACATGAAAGCAATACTTAAAAAACAAGAAATTACTCTTTCTAAAGCACTTGAAAAGTATTTTCTCTGAGGCACTTATGCTTTTTGCAGCAAAACCCAATGCAAACCCACTTAATTTCTTGCAATCATAAAAGTGTGGCAAGATTAACTGTTTATGTGCATCATAATTTTTATTTAGCAAAACAATTTAAATCAATTTAACTTTTTTTTTGTTTGGTCACTGTTGTTTTGTGGGTGTTTCTTTTGTTTGTTTGGGATTTTTTGTGGGTTTTTTTGGGGGGGCTTTGTGTTTGTTTGGGTTTTTTTGCGTCAGGCAAAAAAAGTTAACTGCATGTAGGGGTTTTCTCAGCATCTTTTTTCTCTGGTAAACTCCAGTGGAGAGGTTTACAGTGAAACAGTCATAGATCTGCTACTGCTTTACTCTTCATACAAAAAGCATTATTAAATTCTTCCTTCACATTATTAAACCACACGGTTTGAAAATGAAGCTGTCAGGATTAATTGACAACAAAGGCAATGAGGACAGCAAGAAATACTTTTTCTAATTTATTTTTCTTTTGTTTTTGTCAAGGCAGATTAAAGGAAAATACTATCTGTGTGTGTGTCTGTGTGTCTGTGTGTGTGTGTGTGTGTGTGTGTCTTCCAAACTGAGAGATGCTGAGAAGGGAGGGGAGTTGTGCTGGATCCTGGCAGTCAGTCACCCAAAAAACCCTCCCAGAAGCTGGTACTGACACATGCTGAGTGCCCTTCAGCAAGCTAGGTAAAAAACAAAACAAAACAAAACAAAACATCTTTAGAAAATAATTATTTAAAGACATGCACTCTGATTTTCTTCACTGGATGGAGTACAAGAAAACCAGTTGTATAAGGGTTCTTGTTGCCACCCCCACAATTTGCAGCCTTCCTCCCAGAGTTCATGGAAGGCACTGTGCAGTTTCCACTGTTTAGGATGCTATGTCAACTGACAAGAACTTATCAATGGAAGTATTTTGTCAAAATGGGGTGTAGGAGCATAGGCTTGACTGTATTTCATGAGYTGCTGCTCTACCTTGGATTTGTGTCTTATTATATAGACAAAGCTTTCACTTGCAAAATTTTTAATATCTGGATTTATAACTATTTCAAACTCTTCTACTTGAGGAGAACAGTGGGTTACCAAACTAGTTTGCTCCCACACAGGCATTGATTGGGATGTGCACAGAAATTAAAATAGTTTATAAATGTCAGGGGGTGAGGGGGGTCTTTCCCCCTCATTTGTTCAACCTGGAAAAACCCAAAGTTGTTTTCTGTGGTTTTGAGYTGGATTATTAAAATGCTGTACCAGCCTGATTATCAAAGGAAGTATTGGGAAAATTTGCAATTCATCCAAAACTCTGTTTCTCATCTTTGGATTGGTTCCAGGAAATATCAACACATTATATCAGTTCTTTGGTTCTTTGTGAGTTAATCTGCTCTCTTGTTTCCTTCACTTAGTGCAGGAGTCTTCTTGGCTCTGCATCCATGTTATTATGTGGGGTTCAGAGGTTGTGTGTGTGCATGTATACACATACACTATATATAGAATAAATAATGAAAATTTAGTATAAAATAGCCAAATGTATAATAAATACTGSTAGTTGCATCACTTCTRTTTGTTTTGCCTGTGAYTGTTGTTCTTACTGTGCATTTTTTRTCCAKTGACATGTAATTATCACATTGGCCTTCCAGTGCACATTTATTTGCATCTGAACTCTCTTGTGAAGTRTGAAGAGGCTGGAGCTACTTTTTCCTATTTTAAGACTCTTCAAGACTTTTTTTTTTTTTTAATTTAGCATTATTATGGGTTTGCTAGCTGTCCTACTGACTGTGTCTAACCCTAAACCCAGATCTTAGGAAATTGTTTTTTAAACACTGTAAACATAAAATGTTATTTAGTTCAGAGAAATTAGAGACAGAAATCAAATGACCTATTAGATCATCTTTYCTGTTCCCCTGCCAAAGCATACTATGCCAATTCAGAATTAGTTTAAAGTCAGAGAAAACATGGCTGGAAATAGATGGTATTTTMCAGTCCTGCTCTTTTCCCATTTTGGGCTAATGCACTGCCTTCTAGAAGTTAATGATCACACTGATCACTTCTACTTGAGGGAAGGAAGATGGGCAGACCATTCCTTTCAGCTTTCTCTGTGKAGGGACATGTCCAGTATTATAGAAACCTGGTTATATGTCTTCCTTGTTTGGTAGATATTCCACCACAGAAAAGTACTTCCTCCCTGCCCCTCAGTCTCTTTATTGAAAAAGGTATCCAGAGTGAAAAGTGGAACGTCTTCATTTGTCGTAGTGATTCATGCATAATGCCAGTAATGAAATTGGGTGCTGAAGAATGTTGTCAGGCTTGTGAGGAGTTTGTTAAAGCTTACACCTGCTGTATTTAATATGTACTTGTGTGTATAAACCTGTTCATAAACCTGTGCACATTTCTTGTATTCTTTCTTGTGTAATATTGCTATTCAACTTTACAGATGCTTAAAAGTTCATCAGTTACACTACAGGAAAAGTCTATTTCTCTGGCATTGCAAAGATGAAAAAATAAGATCATTTTTTAGGTGTTTTATTTTCTACAAGAGGTCAAATGCTGTAGCCCTTACTCATGCCTGATGACTAAGTAGGATTAAGCATCTCTTCAGTTAATAAGCTATGTCTGATCTTGCTCACACTGGGGTAAAGTCAGTAGTAAATACACAACTGGGATGATACCAGAATTAAATCCCAGGYCAGCACTGCTCCTTCTCTTTCATAAGCATCATAGAAGGAGTCATTGTGTAACGCTTTTTATTTTCCTTTTCCTATAAGGGTGGATCTCTGTGTCTTTCTTACTCCACAGCCTCTCCCATTTTTCTTCTCCTTTTCATACCAACTCGTGCTTGATGCTCCTGTCTGATTACTGTCCTTTAGGACAAGGAGTTTTTGTGCTGACCTCCTTTTGCAGCTAGTCAGCACAATAGGTTTCAGTTTAGCAAACTGAAAGGAATGAAGAGACTCTTCACTTCAAGCACTGCTAGCCTCTGATGACCTTTATATWCACTGATGGAAAGTGTGTCCTTTCAAAGATAATGGGTTGGGTTATTATGAGCCATAGCTGGAGCAGGGCAAGTTGTGTTTTGACATAGGGTAGCCAGTCATAGTGAAATCTCAGCTTCAGATTGACCAAACAGAAAGTGTTGAAAGTCCTGCAGTGAAGTTCTAGGCAGTGTTCAGTTCAGGAAGAACAGCTTTGTCTGGAACACATCAAAAACTTGTTCTTCTAATGCAGAGCCAAAAATGTGAGTATGTGATTGTGTTAAGACAATTGGTTGCATTTACATTAACCTCAGTTCACAGTAACTTGACCTAAAGCTTTAGGCTTCACAAGTGGCTTCAGCTGGTGTAACCTGAGCTGCCCCCACTGAGGAAGTCTCCTCTTTCCTGCTCTTGTCAGGGGCTGTGTTTGCTGCCTTTGCTCAGGCTGGCCCTTGCTCGTGTAGCTCCATAACCAGTGGGTTCACTGCAGGTAGGGAGGACAGACACATTTCTTCATTTTCTTCCAGGTTAGTAGTAGTTTTTAGCTGGATCAGATCCATCATTTGTTTGACTGTCCCTCCCGTGGGTATCACAGTCTTACAACATCTTAATCCTCTTGTGAAACTTCACCCTTATCCCAGGATAAACATCTGGGACCTCTTAGTTCAAGCATGCTCRCTTGGTAGCATACATTAAACCTCAGCTAAGTTACACCTGCTGTCAGTGGACAATTCTGTTCTTGAGCACAGACACTGGAACAGGGAAGGCTCTATGTGGCAAACGAGTCAGGGTTCATTTTTATTTAAACACTTGCATGTATAKGACATTTGGTTGCATATTACTCCGATATGTATAATTCATGTGAGAGATGTGCTTGGATTAGCAGAGGTTTAAGGACACAACTGATGGCCAGCAACTGCTGACTGGAATAATTCAAGTGTGTTGTTTTGTGAATTGAAATGTGAGGTACAATCTCTGACAGAAGTTACAAACTTGTAATCAGTTTTCCAGTCTGGGATCTCAAAGGCTGTTCAGATAAGCAGTGTGCTTGTACATTGAGTAGGAATTTGGGAGACTTAACAATTCWAAATATTTATTTTCCTAGTTTGTCCGAGCTGGTGAATCACAAAATTGTAATTTTGACTACTTTTTTTGCTTCCCCCTCACACATTTTAGTTTCACAATGTTTGCAGCTTAAAAGTCACTACAAGCTCTTTGATTTCTGAATACTTGAAACTCAGTTTCATGGGGCTTAGGAGAAAATGTCTTTTTAAACTTACAGTAGTTAGTAAGATGGCAGATGCTGAAATTCTGTGCTTACAGGAAAGAGGGGGGTTGAGCTGCCTTCTTTCAAGACTTCCCTCTTTCAGATTGATTTGGTTTGCCACCACACACTGTTGACATTGGTGAGGAGATAAGAATACTTCAATCTTTAGTTGACCTGAGAAGAGTGTCAGCCCATAGGAACTTTGCATTTTCCAGAAGTTTGTGAAAGTGCTGGAGCTAATGTTGCAGTGCTGTTGGTAGCACAGGTGATCTATTGCTGCTTGCTTCCTGTCAGTTCTGCACAACCACAGCATGCACAGAGTAGGAAAGAGTTTTGAATTTATAATTTTCAGAATAACTAAAGTAATAAGCAGAAAGATCAACAGGTCAAGGATTTTTTTTTTTTCTTTCCTTGTTTTTATCACTTTCTGTATGGTTTTCATATAGCACTCTGTAATCTATAAATTCTCAGCTCTCATTGACTGAARCTTGGTGGAATTGTGCTTTCACTGACGGGAAGTGGGGCTGTGCCTCTTCCCTTCCTCCCTTTGTCACACCTCCCTGCATTATTTTTACTATGTGCCATTCAGGAGCACCTCAGGTTTAATAGGACAATTCAGCTTCATTTTCCTCTGCACTTCAGATTCAGAGGAACAATTGTTCAGTGCTGCAGTGAAGCTGTAGCTTTTCTGCATCATCTTCATTCACGATGCTTGTGAAAATCTCATGCCAATTCAGAAAGTCCTTGGATGTTGTGAACCTTGGAAAAGAGCAGAGAATTGTTTTTTAACCTTACTCTCACCCCAGGCAGCATCACAACATGCCTATGTATGTATGTGTGTTTGTATAAACCAGTACCTATACTTTTACATGCTGGTTTTTAAGCCATACTCCTTGCAAAGCTGAAGTATTTATGGTCAGTTTTGGTGGTGAAAGGGAATGTATAGTCCAACAAGTTTAAAAATCACTGATATGCACCCATTTTCTGTATTTTCATCCTCTGTCTCTTTCCTTTAGCTCATATCTAATYTTCTGTGATGTTTTGGCACTTCTGYRTTGTGTTTCATCTAAAGGAGGAAGGGGGATGGCTATGGCAAATGAGATCCTAGAAGAGTTCTGGAAAGTATGGGAGTTTTTTAATCAATTAAGGTAATTCCTTAAATTAARGAGGATAGAGCAGAACTTTGCCAAAAAAGAAACTATTGCATTCCCTAGCCCTTCTGTTTGTGCAAAATACTGTGTTTTAGACTCTCTAGTATCTGCGAAAATGGCTTTAAATCTGTCTTAGCTGGCACTAGTTGCCTTTGGACTGCTAAAGATATTGTTCCATCTCAGCTGTGATCTGTGCTGCTATTCCTTTCTGTCTCCAGTGGCAGTGGCTGTTCTGATTTTTCTGGATTGCATTCCAGTGCATTACCAAAGCAGCAGAGAGAAAACTGTTATTGATATTAAATAACCAATTTTTGTGATGTTTTCTGCAAGCAGTGTTGCTATTCATTATRCATATTTTTAGTTGTCATCAAAGCAGGTAATGTAGCTTTGTAGGCTTTAGTGGAGTCATGCAGAAGACTGTAGACTTCTGTCACTGAATGGGGTCACAGTGTTTGAGYTCCAAATTGGCCAAAGTGGTTTGGCATGTAATCCATGGCTGGATATGAAGCAGTGGTTCAAAATAATCTGTAGATCCTTCTATTATTGCACATTTCTGGGCTGAGCTTGCAGTCTTTGCATTCCAGTAAAAGTGGAGATATCATGCTGAGGTTGCAGTGCTATCTCTTGTTTCTTTTTTGGTCTTTTTTTTTGTTTTAAAATTTGTGCCAGGGAGTTGATACACTGAAAAATTTGAAGGCTGGATTGTTACAGTTTTCAAAATTTACCTAAGAGATTTTGGCTTTACATATTTTTCTCCTCATCGGATTTTGCTGGAGCTTATTTTTTCTAACCCATGTTAATATGTATTCTACATAATGAGAAACAACAACTCTCCCCACACATATTTTTTTACTTGCCTTCATTTCATTTACAACAAAACAAACCAAAACCACTTATTGGTCAACCTTTTTAAGGTTGATGGCCCTTCTCAGTAATAATTTTGTTGTGGAAAATGTCAGCAGTGGGTAGGGGTGATGAAGAACTATGAATGTAAAACAGAAAAACAAAATTAATTTTGGCTAGTAGCACTGAAAGTTTTACCTATCACTGTGATAAAGTGTCCATTTACTTGCAGCTAGAGAGAAGTTCTGGGAAGCTGGACATAGTTTAAATTCTTATCCACTTAATGGTGTCTTCACCTGGTACTATTTTGGGGTTAATTAGATGAAGCAGCTGAAACAAATTAACATTTTGCTGCCTTTAAATAGGGTGGTCTCGGGGTTGTAGTCCTACACATACACTCTGCCTGTGGTGCTAATGTTGGAGGAAAATCGACTGTTTAGGAGGAAAATCGTCTTCATTTTTTGGTGTAAGGTAAGGGTACATGGTGTGGTATGGGGAAAGAGGGACTAGAGGAAAGGGGAAGCAGAAAGTTCCATGCAGTTTGCTTTAAACATCAGTAGTTCTYGTAATCAAGTTGATCAACAATTCAAAATATCTTCTGTAATTACCCATYTGCTATCYTTKAKAACTCTGCAAAGACAGCARTTTTACTSACAGGATTCMCAYRTGGAAATAGAGCTATTCATTTCCATGGACAAACCAGTTTTAGATATTAGAAAATAATCTGTCCACCYTCTTTSCTGAAAGGGTGGTCAKGCATTGGATCACACTGCCCAGGGAAGTGCTGGAGTACACATCCCTTGAGWTATTTWARAAWTGTYGATGTGGCACTTAAGGACATGGTTTAATGATGGGCTTGGCAATGCTGGCTTAATGGTTGGAYTTGATAACCTCAAGGATCTTTTCCAACCTGCCAGTTGAAAGCCTGGTAGTTGTGGTGCATTGCTGGAGTTAATTTGGGAGTGAAATACTTACATGCAGTTTATGGAACATTTGGCAGAGCATTATTGGAAGTGTCTTCGGGAATACTGCTGTAGTTACTCTTAAGGGTGAGGTGACGATCCGAAGTGTAAAGGATGATGAAGAGGACAGATTTTCACCCCAATGTAGTCCAAAAAAGACATCATCTGGCCACAGCGTGGACTCTTATCAGGTAGGTAATAACTATCCTTTCTGTGAGGGGAAAAAATGGGGGCTTATGTTAATTTTTTGTTTGTTTGCTGATTTCCTTCTGAAAATTGATAAACTTGGTCTCTTGATAAAAGAAGGAAAAACAGTTTTGCTTGATCTTTACAGTATGGTGATTACAGTTTTTTTAGGCTGCTTGGTGTATTTGTGCTCATTTTGATTTCATGTAGAGCACTATCTAGGATAAGTGGTTCTGAAGTTCTTTTATTTTAAGAAAAAGTTATCACCATTGTGATGTCTTCACTTGCAAATGGGACTTGGGGGGCTGTGTTCAAGACAGAAACTCACATATAGTTTTATCATCCTTTTTATCTGTATCCAAGTCTGGGCAATGTGATGATAATTGTGTAAGTTAGTGATGGAGAAGTTCAGTGGGTTTTTTTTTTTTGTTTGTTTGTTTGGGATTTTCTTTTTGGTTTTTGTTATTCCTCCTTTTTCAGATCTTTTATTTCAGAATTAGCTCACATGTTAGAATCCAGCCTGTTACACCACAGGTAAATTAGAGTATTAGCAATATTGGTATTTCTAGTGCAGTACAGTTCATATGTCAAATTTCACTACTGGTTACTAGTGGAGAAGACATTGTTTCTGGTTTGAAAATATTTGCTTCCCAAATCTGTGACTTATCTCATGCAGGTAGTGAATGCATGGTGAACATATGTCATAAAGTCTAATAGAGGTTTTATGGGAACAGGTTTGCACTGGCTAGCTTATTCCTAAATGTMATGGCAGGAGCAAATTCTACTGCTTGTCTCAAACAACAGTAGTCYATGTAACAAATTTTGACCAAAATACTTCACCTTGTATTTTTTCCTTCACTTTTACAATATGCCTTTTTTTTTTTCTTAAGGTAAGAGAAACTTTTCTAAGCTCTTTATCTATAAACTTAGACATTTGTAAGTATAGAAAGGTAACTGATAACTGAGGCCAGCAAGTGAAAAACAATGATTGAATCATATACATAGGCTTCTGTAAAGAATGTAGCAGAGACTCGTAATATTCCTAGATGCTTTGTGTTTACAAATACACAGTTCTTACACCTTTCAAAATTCAGTATTTAAGCTGAGGATGAAATGTCTTTCCTATTGTAAAGGGAAGAAACTAAATGCCTACAGTTGTACAAAACTATTAATGTGATACCAGTCATATTTTTAAAAATTAGACAAGATCCATATTTTAATAATTTTATAATACATGTTGAATTTTTTTCAAGAATTTATTTTATAGGATATTTTTCTTACCTTTTGCCCTTGGTTTGATTGGTTGGTGGTTTTGTGAGGTGAGCTTGTTTTATTGTTGTGGGGTACTTTTTAGTTGGCTGTTTTTTGTGGTTTGGAAGGAGAAACAAGGATGGTGCATCAGAAGAGCACAGATCTGAGGAAGCAGATGGAAGGACAGGAATAAAGTGTGGGACAGGGGATGGATGGAACCCAGACTGGTGTAGACAGAGTGAAGCTAAGCAGACATCAGCAGTAATGGAAGGACAGAAATACATAGGAGGGTGTTGGATTGTTGAACCAGGCTGGAGAGTGGAACTTTGCCTTTGCACATGGGCTTCACAAAGTCAGTGAGAGCACAGGTAATTGTAATGAACTCACCTTTTGCCACCTTCAGTAGACAGAGCTTGGTGCTGGGGAACTAAACTGGGCCATGCTCATGGTTAGCTGCAAATATCAGGCAAATTACTCTCTTTAGTTTTCTTGCTTTTCCAGGTCTCATGTCCATCAGAGCATTACAGTGTGTTATGTTTGCTGATTTTCTGCACTGTTGTGAAGCTGGGTGGGGACCTTAGTTTCGTTCAGATTTTAGGAATTCTAAACACTTTCCAATGATAGAGATGATGAATATATATGGYAGTCATTCAGCAAATTGAAGCCTCTGGACAGCAGACTTTCTTTTCTTATCTTCTGTAATTATATACCTGTTGCATATTCCTTGGAAATCACCAGCAGGTCATGTGAAAACTATAGCCTGGATAACTTCTGACACATTAGCAATGGACACTTGTGTATTTTAAATCCTTTATGTCCAAATCCTATTTACACATTTCTAAAGTTGTTTAAGTAAGTGTGTGGGGGYTTTTCCCTCCTGATGAATTAGCTTTGTTTTGCTAAAGCAAGCTACAATTCAATGCTTTTTTTCCCCCTCTGTGAATATGTTCACTGCTAATATAAATCAGCTTTAAGAAATTATTGCTGTGGCAGGTAGAAGTCAATGTGTATTTCTCAAACCAGTGGAACAACTGGGAAGTATTTTAKGTGGYCTAGGCACAGCATTTTGCTGGCTGKCTGTGTTCCTGTTTCCTGATGGATACAGAGAGAAATGCTGAGCAATGCTCTACAGGCACACTCAACAGCTATGAGAGATTTCCTTTCCCTTGGGTRGTACTGTCTCATAGTTTGGGAAGGRAGGGAATAAGCTTCWGTCCCTGAGGTCAAAGTGCAACACCAAACAGCCAGGATTTTTTTAAATTTACAATTCAACAGGCTACATTTTTAATCATGTCCTCTTATTGTCCAAGCAATCCTATCTGTGCCTTAGTGTGTAAAGTGTGTGTGCCTTAGTGTGCTTCAGCTATTTGGGGTGATTTGCATACCCTTAAACAGGAAAGGTTGAAAATTAGTGTTGAAAAAGTGTTGTCTTCCATCAAATTACACGGGCCATTATTGTCTCAGGCAAAAAAAATGTCTTAAGAACTCTTCACAGTGTTTTGTAATAGGATTTTTACAGTCCAGTAGTCTGCCTTTTGCAGACTTAGATTGGGGAGTTGACAGAACTAAGTTTTACCTGCCATATTTCATGTTTCAGTCATAATGCTGGGATGTCAGCATTCCTCAATTAGYAATCATAATACTGGCATTTCAGTAAGGGTCTTTGTGTCACAGAGTTGCCTTCTTTGGTCTGGAGGGTGGCAGAAGGACATATGTAGCTGMCTCTGTACTTTCAGCACAGTGTTTTATCTGTCCAATAAGTATCTGAGCTCAGTTTGGATAATTTGACTTTAACCTTGAGGTAAAGACAAARAATTGTATGGATGCTTATTGTAGGGAAAGTCCAACCAGTTTCACACCTTATGTGTAGGCTGCACCATCAGGGATACCCTTTTCTTCCCCCTGGGACTGTAGAACTAGATGGGAATTCTCATGACTTTTGGTAATATTAAGTAATAGTGTGCTTATTTTTCTTTCTTGTTATTGGCAGCTCTGTTTTTACGTTGCTTCTGTTGCTTTTGTTGCTGTAAATATCAATACAAGTCACTCTCTTATTCTTTTTTATGATGTGAAGGGATTGTTTGTATAATGAGATATTAAAGGTGCCATATAAATTCCATTTAGTTAATCTTTGAGACACAGAACACGTAAGAAAAGAGACAAAGTGAAAGATGTCTATGGTGATAGAAGTGGAATCTTTGTGGTAATATTTGGAACAAATTTGAGGGTGTATCTTGGAAAGTTACTGCTGACAGGTAGAAACCAATATTGCATAAAGAATTATCTTAATTCTTGTAATAAACTGAGTTTTGGCAAACTACATGGGAAAAAAAAAAAGATACTCCAGAAATCCTCAATTCATTGCTTTCATTTGAGCTATTTATATGGATGATTTTATTAATAACTTTTTTTCTGTCACATGCCAGCACTTCCTGGCCGTGTTTTCCAGTACTTCCTATATGTAAGTTTTATTTCTAAACTCAAGATTTTAGGAAACTAGAGCTGTCATTTCTCACAGTTAGGAAAAACAATTTGTGTATAAGAAATTTCTGGAAGTCTTCCGCCTCACTGCCAGAAAGAAGTCCTCCCTCCCTAAATGCTAAGGATCCACAAATTGTAAGCTATTAAAAACTAATAGAGACTTTGAGTCACATGTCAAGTGCCAGATATTTTTGCAAGTTTAGAAGATATGAGATTCAAATGATTGTTGAGGTGTGTTGGCTGGGCTCATGATGGAAAGGAAGAAGATAAAGTGTTTATGAGTGCAAAACAGACCATGATTTTTCTTTTTTTCCTTTTTAACACTGGCAGTGACTTCTGTCAGTCCTTCAAAGGGAAGAGATACAAATCTTCAGAATTCATAGTGTTTATGACTGTTACTTGGTATAACTGGCATAAAAGCACAAAAATACTGTATTTCTAATTCCTCACAATAAACCTGTATTGCATTTCATATATGTGTGTATATTTAAGTTCAGTCACTGTATGATTATGATTGGTTTTGTTCAGCATAGGTGATGCCTGCTGATGGTTCACTTTTTATTAAGAAAAGATACTTTCACAAGGTCTCTGTAATAATAAATATGTTCTGTTGCTCTATCACTCTTTGTAGCAGAGGATGTTGCATTAGTTTAAGTGTCGGGGCAGAGCCACACAGCTAAGCCTTTGCAGTTTGGTAGCCTCATGGTGATACTTGCTCAAAAGAGAGTATAATTCATAGAGAGAAAACCCTGATTGAGTAATGGATTTATTTATGGTAAATGTGTGTTTTGTCAACTGGGACCATTCTTTTAATTTCCTTTTATAAGGTGGAAGTTTGAAGAATTGAAGTGCTCTGACACTTCAAAAAAAAAATATGTGATTGGAAAAAGTCTTCATTTCCTCCAGAATAATTTTTCTGCAAAGGCCTTTCATCTTGCACTGCTAAGTTAGTTTAATTCCTCCAAGGGGAGTGTGTGTGGGTAAAAGCTCACAACAAAACTCTCTGTTTCTGCAATAGGGCTGCTTCAATTCAGTACCCCCCTATTACAGCATATGGATTTATCTCAATAATAGCTCACCTCATACAGGAGGTGAATTTTCAGAACTAGGCCATATTTAAATTTTGTTTAGTGTTGCCTTTATTCTTTCTGGCTGAAGCGTCTATCAGGTGGAGACCATTGCTTTTATGAAAACTGGATTGTAATCTGGGCATCTCATTGAGCTGAATGTGTGGGAATGGAGAAGTGGCAGTATCTTTCCCAGCAGTGGTATG